CCTTTCATTCCCATATTGGTTTTGTTCATAGTGTTGATCACACACTAATAGATCACAAGGTAGGACAATTGAAAATCTTCTTCTCATGAAAGTAGGGAAGTGAGGGACATGGAAGGCTGTACAACTTCCTCAGACACACACAGAGTCCCCCTTCCAGATACAACCACACATTCCAACATACACAGGCAGAGACACATACAGAGAGAATGAGAGTCCCACTTCCAGATATAGTCCCATACCCATCCTACACACCCACAGTCAGAAACACTCTCCAATATACAGGTAGAGGGAATGACTTTCTTCTTTTTTGACAGGGTCATCTGGGTGCCCTGGACTTTCTTTACGGACCAAGATATGATAGACAATATTGTTTCAGTCTCCCTACTGAATGGATTAAGACTATGTTTCACCATGTTCAACCATCAAATGCCGTGTTGTTGATAATTAATAAATTTATTTACTGAAAAATTTCGACACAATATATTCTGGTAATTATTTCCTTTCTTCTTTGGCAGATCCTGCCCCTCTCCCCAATTCCAGAATTCCATAAAAAGTCAGAATTTTAAGGGTTGTTTATGAGGACATATAAGGGTTTGGACATAGGCATTCATTTTTAAATAGACAGTTAATGATTTAAAAATCCATAAGTGGCAAAAATTTCTCTTGATAAGTTATTAATATTAAAAACTATTAATATTAAAAATTACTAATTACAAATAATTAAAACTTATTGTACACATATTTGCCTTTACAGATTACAATTCATTTTTAAAGGTATAAAATTCAGGCTCAAGAGTTGGCTCAGTCCCAAGGTCCCAAGGAGGAGCAGAAGGAGGGAGAACATGAGCAAAGAATTCGGGACCACGAGGCGTGCATCCACCCACTGTGACAGTGGAGCTGATCTACGGGGAGCTCACCAAGGCCAGCTGGACTGTGACTGAAAAAGCATGGGATAAAACCGGACTCTCTGAACATGGCGAACAATGAGGGCTGATGAGACACCAAGGACAATGGCAGGGGGTTTTGATCCTACTTAATGTGCTGGCTTTGTGGGAGCCTAGCCAGTTTGGATGTTCACCTTCCTAGATATGGACGGAGGGGGGAGGACCTAGGACTTAACACAGGGCAGGGAACCCGGACTGCTCTGTGGACTGGAGAGGGAGGGGGAGAGGAGTGGGGGGAGGGGGAGAAGGGTGGGAGGAGGGGGAGAAGGGTGGGAGGAGGGGAAGGGAAATGGGAGGCTGGGAGGAGGTGGAAACTTGTTTTTTTGTTTATGTTTTTTTTTCTTCTTTTCGCAATAAAAAAATTAAAAAAAAAGAGTTGGCTCAGTGGTACAGTGCCTGCCTCCCAGTATTAGTATCTTAGCTTGATTCATAACTCTTTGTTTAGAAGGTGGGTGTTGTGGCTTATCCTATATTCACACAACTGTGGGCGTTGTGACTGGAGAAAAGCTAAGTTTTGCTGTCCAAATGTTCTATCTGCAAATTTGGCTCCAGGTTCACTGTAATATCCTTTCTCAAAAATAAGACAGAAATCAACTGGTAAACATAAGCAAATTCATGTCTAGCCTCCGGACACATGTGAAAACCATGTACTATGCACACACAATCTTCCCAATCAGCATTTACAGCCATCCAAACATTGTCCTTATGCTGCATGGGATTTATGCTCTGTATTATTTAGAACTGGGTCATGGATGTTGCAGACCTTGGATGAACTGCTTGCTATGGAACCCAAGAGATGAACTCCTGTAGACTTGTTCCTTCTCCACAACTTCCCAACTGCACTTCCTACTCTGGGGACTTCCATTCAATTTCCAGCCATGAGAGTGGCTCATTTAAGACTATGAAAGCAAGAAATTATATTTTTCTAAATGCTTAATTTCAACTTTTAAGTGAGTGTGGTTCTTAAACTTAAGATCTTTCACATGGTGACAAAGCACTCTACCTCAGAACTACAAGCCTAGTTCAATATTTTAAAACATCACATTTTTTTCTACAGAAAATGATTTTTAATGACTGCATTTATACACTACCAAAATCAACACCAGGAACCACAAATTCTTCTTCCTTGACACCAGCATTCATAACTGATTCTGTAAAGGATCAACTTATTGCCAAGCAATGGTGGCTCATGTCTTTAATCCCAGCACTCAGGAGGCAGAGGCAGGCAGATCTCTGTGAGTTTGAAGCCAGTGTGGTATACAAGAGCTAGTTCCAGGACAGGCTCCAAATCTAAAGAGAAACCCAATCTTGAATACACAAAAACAAAAACAAACAAACAAAAGGATCAATTTACTGAGCATAGATTTGAGAATGTTGGGGTATTGAGGATAAATCAAAACAGACAAAGAAAACAGAAGGAAGAGAACACGAAGTATGGAAACCGCACCCTCAGCTGGTGACTCCTATTCTCATTCTGGACTTCATGACCTTTTCAAGACTACTGTGTAGTTGAACCACAGATTGTGCTGGAATCTCACTACTCATGTTCAATACCACACACTTGAATTAAAAGAAAAATATGCATACTGCACATATGAATAACAGTATCTGTCACACATCTAAAAGAGGAAGACAGGGGCTGTTGAGCTGTGTTCTCTGCATTTGATGCTTTGGCAATCACTGGAATCTAAAGGAAGAATGGGAACTGGAATGTCTTCAGAAGCTTGCTCAGGGTAAGGGAGGCTCTGAGCCTGAAGTCAAACCTTGAATCCCAGCCTTGCTGCTCACCTGACCTCAGAGCAGGTTTCTGTGGTCAGATGATGCTGTGGTAACCTCTGAAATGTAAACTATTTATAGATGATGAGAAAGTTTGCATCACTGAAGCAAGCACACAACACTCAGACATATACACACAGACAGATATACAAAAACAGAGACAATTCTTCCAAACAACACACTTACAAGGGCAGATGGATACATGTGTATTAACTTCATATGATACTTGAAAATATTCTTTTTCCACATATTGTTATTCATTCTGCTTAATAACAAACCATTCTCATCTATAATGCATTGTGATTACATTGGTCTATACCACTGACTCTCTACTCTTTCCCCCACTCCTTTGACCCTTCTGGCCTCTCCTACTCTCATGTATCTTCTTGGCTCTCTTCCCTCCTTACCTGACTTTTTGCACCAACTCTGTTTCTTTTTCTGCTCATCCTGAAATGAGATTGAAGGGTCACATCATCTGTGTAATTCCATGTGTGTCCCCTCAGTTTTTATAATGTCTCACTAGAACCACATTCCCATTTCCACAGCACAGCCATTCCTTTTCATCCATCCCAATAACACTCGGTTTCATTCTTTTTTTGGGTAAATGGCACTCATATCATTAGTTACAGGCAACTAATTCTTTTGGATTTAAGATCCATTTCTGTGGTTATTAAACATATCAGCTTTATGCAACCTCTTCTGCCCACATGCACTGTTCAAGGTAAAGTATCCCAATCAGAGGATGGAGGGCAGATGAATGTGTGTTCATGATGACATCACCTCTCAGCACTGGGTTCCCAGTGTCATCTATTAACTTCTTGACTCAAAACTTAGAGAAGTGGAAGAAAGGAGTTTTTCTTGGAAAGAAAAAAAAATTAAACTGTTCTCTTGGATGACTGAAACCATGTTATAACCTTTAAACAGGGAGTAGTGATGTTTTAAATGCCGTATTTATTAATCAAGATGAGAAATATATTTAAAAATATTACCATTTGAATCAAGGTCTCAGATAAACTACACGGAAACTAGATCATTGGGCTAAATCACAGCACTGAATGAGAACTTCTTTAAAAATACACTGTTTTAATTTGGAGTATATGCTTCTTTGTGTGTGGTGTAGTGTTCATGGAGACAAACAGATGGCACGAGGTCCTCAAGACCCACATGTGGTTCTGAGCTGCCTGACTCATCTAGGGTTTACCGCCTACTTTAGCTTCTCCAGGAACTGATGCTGAGGAAGGATCAGTATACAGGATCATTTTGCTCTGTGTGATAATCTGCATTTTGTTCAGGTAAAAGCACATCTTCAATTTAAAAAGGAATTATAATGGGGTTGTGAAAAACAAGTTTTTGCTACATAAGAACCCAACAGTGGGTTCTGAACACAGAACTCAAAATCCTTAATTAAAGAGAGTAGCAGCCAACCAAGTATACCACATAGGGAATGTGGAGACAAAACCATCACTGGGACTCAGTGGACAAAAAGAATATCCAGTCATTGAGAACCAGGCCCAGTGAGAGAATTTGTCTCAAAACAAGTTGATGGAGGAGGGTCATTGGTTAATTATAATAAAGAAACTGCTTGGCCCTCATAGGTTAAAACATAGGTGGGAGGAGTAAACAGAACAGAATGCTGGGAGGAAGAGGAAGTGAGCTCAGAAATCATGCAGCTCCTCTCAGAGCCAGAGATGATGAAGCAAGCCGCCAGGTCAGACATGCTGAATCTTTCCCGGTAAGCGCACCTAGTGGTGCTACACAGATTATTAGATATGGGCTAAATTAATATGTGAGAATTAGCCTAGAAGAGGCTAGATATAATGGGCCAAGCGGTGTTTAAAAGAATACAGTTTGCGTGTTGTTATTTCAGGTAAAGCTAGCCGATGGCGGGAGCTGGTTGGCGGAATGCAACCCGCAGCTCCCCACAACAAGAAGTGTTACAGTTTATTAGAGAAATGCTTCATATGTCAGCATACACACATACATACACACACTCACACACATACATGGAGATGAGAGTGAGAGAGACAGAAATAGGGAGACAGAGGGAAATAGAGGGAAACCATAAGAAACACTATAATAAACACAAAACTGGAAACAGAAAATTCAATAATCATTTGGGTATTCAAGGATTACTACAAACCATACCCGTGGAGAAAATCTCTACGTGTGATAAGAGGAGACAGTGCAGACACAGAAAAGTTCAGTCTTCTATGCTTCTCTAAGAAGGATCTTTGTGACCCAGATATCTAAGTGCTCTCTGCGCCCCCTGCTGGTTCAGTGTTACCCACAGGGGTGTTTTTGTGTGAGCTCACAGTAGTATTCACTCACTGTGTCTCTTGTACAGTAATACATGGCTGTGTCCTCAGACGTCAGACTGCTCATTTCCAGGTACAGAGTGTTCTTGGCATTGTCTCTGGAGATTGTGAATCGGCCCTTCAGAGCATCGGTATAGTAGGTGTTACCACCATCTGGATTAATGAATCCGATCCACTCAAACCCCTTCCCTGGAGCTTTGCGGACCCACATCATCCAGTAGTTACTGAAGGTGAATCCAGAGGCTGCACATGAGAGTGTCAGGGACTTTCCAGGTTGCACTAGGCCTCCCCCAGACTCCAGCAATTGCACCTCACACTGGACACCTGTAAACACAAAGAATTCTAGACTTTTTTCTCTTTATCATGTCCACACAACACACATCATCTCATATTTATGAATTACCTTTCAAAGTAAGGACAAAGGAAACCAATATGAGACCTAAATCCATGGCAAGTATCCTGTGTTCAATGCTGATCCTTCACTGGGCTTGTCTCCTCTGCCAGAGCTGCACAGTCAAGGCAGGGCTGGATTTTATGGACACAAAGTTTTATTTGCATATCTTCCTGACATAACTGGCTCTGTAATTGGACCTGGGCAGAAGGCAGTACTCAGAGCAGATATAAGGCATTATACCCACTGATGACAGTTATAGAATTTGAAACATTAATGTAGCTCTGTGTATATATTTTTATTGTTAGGGATTCACCACACTTTTAGTTCTCTTTTCACCATATGCATTGAAAATGTTGTGTTTTCACACTGTTATGTCTCTTTAGGATCAATGTGAAATAGAAAAGCTCCACACACAGCTGTGTTTCTAGATATTCTCTCTGTTTGTCCCTCTGTCTTTGCTGGACAAGGCTTCATTCTGAGGTGGATTATGGTTAGGATCACACTTTCATCAAAGTAAAATCCTTTGATGTGATAGGAGCATGAATCCCACAGCCAGAAAAGAGGCCAAACACACGTTACATTGACATAAATAGTATAAGTAAGAGACCACACAAAAGTGAGCTGATAATATAAAGGCTACTGTTGTTAGAAATTCCTACAGCATTTCCCTGTTTTCTGAGCCTAATACAAAATTATATAAAATAGGAACAAATATATCAAGTCACAAAATGTGATAAATATTTCAATAATTATCCTATCCTGCTGAGTTTAAGTCTTGTATAATAAATAACTTGGCCAAGTCATGAGAGAAAAGTCTCTACAACTATGTAGTCTTCCACACCATTGAAGATCTGAGAAGGGAAATATTACAAGAATGAGAAGGAAGTGTAATTAAGCAACTTTCAAAATGTGTAACAAGTGACAGAGACAACTGGCTACCTGGACAATCACCCAAAGTCTCATTTTCAATGTTGGAGCAAGCAACTTTGGCTAAGGTCAAGAATAAGTGGCAGATCATTTTCTGAGGCAAGAAATTTTTCAAAACCTTCTTACCCTGTATTTCCAAGTTTTGACAGTCTTTTCTTTTATGTATCCTGCTTGTCCTGTCCAGACATCATGCATATGGTCAATACATGGGCAGTCCTTGCACAAAGGCCAGGTTTGCCAAGAAGAAAACAAGCTCCAAGTGGAGTGTCTTTGATGCTCAACATTCTTTTGGGAATTATATTGGTGCTGCCAGGAGCAATAGTGTCTCTCTTAAACAGAACCCTATGTTATTCTACAGTTCTTTGAAGTGGTTGAAGATTACCTATTTATGCAGAATAAAATCTCTATGTATATAAATTACCTGATTAATCTAACTATAAGTATGACAAACATAGATAATTACTGATATATAGATGAATTAGAGATAAACTCATCTATAATACCTATATAACAGAAAGACTAAGACTTCATATTAGAATATTATACAATAAACAACAGTGCAGCAAATGAGGACAATGACCTAAAAATGTAAGCAATGTATAAGTACCATGACAGGAGGTAGAAATGTACATTGTAATATGATAAATATATCCTAAAAATTTATCAGTATGCAAAAATGTTTTAAGCAGAATTAGTAGCATGCATGCATACAATAAAACAAAATAACTTTGCCTACATATACAAATTTTGTAGATGAAAATAGGAACATTTTCAATATAATTTAAGTTTGTATCAATATAAAAGAATCTATATCAATGTAATTTGCCTATAAATAATAGCTCACAAGTATTCACTCTATTACTCACTTTTATTATTAGTGTGAACAAGCTCACACTAATCTATTGTCCCATCCAATATCCCCTTTTTTTCAAAGAGATCCCTTGGTCTACAAAATGTTTTCCCCACCCCCCAACCCTATACCAATTATAATTAACCCCTAGATGATGTCCCTAACACTGGGGACAAACTTTGTTGGGAGAGGGAATGTCGTCTTCTAGAATTACTTCGAACTGTCATGGATGTGATATAGTTTTTATGAGATCCTGTGAAAGTAAAATGGTGGTTAATTTCTAAGTTTACTGTCTGGTATAATTGGAAATAGTCTCTGAGTATTTTGTAGGATTTTTTTCTGAGGTTTCTATTTGGAGTTCTGGGAAGAACGTTGTCAAAAAGTACAGCATTTTAGCTAACCAAGTTGGAATCATCTTGTGCAGCTGATACCCCAAATAGGTCTTATAATAGCACTATTAGCATCACGGTGTCATATCAATCAGGTGGAGTTGTTGTAGTGCCCCATCTTCTTCCTAGAAACTTCAAAGATTACTGCAGGAAAATTCATTGTTCATTGTGTAAAACTTAAACAATACTTATATAGACATATACAGACATATATATTCAATGAAAGGTACAATACAGTCAAAAATAGGTATGAAGAAAGGTAAAATTACTTTTTCTAAATGCTTTCTTCTTTCTGTCCAGTACCAGATGGTTCTTGACATGAGGCAGAAACTCTGAATATTTTTGAACTTATAATTATATATATTTAAATGGATATGTTTTGCTCACCTGTCCTTACAAGTCATATTCCTTTTTCTTGATGATCCTTATTGGATAGCTATTTTTCCTTCTGTCAGCATCCAAACATCCAGGGTCTCTTGAATTTTTGAAGATGTGCATTTTCCTGTAAAAACAAGAGCAGAACCCTGCCCCATACCTTATGAGGTTTATTACCACCTGTATGATTGTCACACCAGTGGGTGAGCTGTCATCTCTCTTTCTCAAGAGTTTTCTCTTTTTCAAACTGAATATTTATTAATTTTGATAACATTCATAGTTTTTCTTCTCCTGTGCAAACAAGAGCAAAACCCCATCCCCAATATAGCACATCTCCTGGTTTCCATTGTGAGGTCAACACGTCCTTGAAATACACTGAATGATTTAATTCAGAAGACTTTTCTATTATCCAATGTTTCTTTGCTGCTGTTGTACCTTTCTCATTAGTGTTAAGAAAATTAAAGATTAATAAAGCATTATGCAATCTATTCATGGTGGGTATTTTCCATTCCTTTCTGTTTATTTAACATATCCTTTATAGTTCAATTTAATCTTTCTGCAACTGTATCACCTGTAGAATTGTGTGGTATACTCATAATATGCTTCATATTATAATAAGCAAAAAACTGTTTCATTTTCTTAAAGACGTTAGCTGGACCATTTTCTGTCTTTATTTGTGCAGGTATACCCACTTAACTTGAAATAAAGGTGTGATAACTGAATCAACCTTTTCTGAGCTCAAAACAGTTGCCCACTGAAAACCTGAATAAATGTCAATGGTGTGGTGTACATATTTTAATTTTCTAAATTATGTAAAGTGAAAAACATCCATCTGCCAGATTTTATTCCTTTAGATACTCATTGGGTTAGTCCCTTCAGAAAAAGATCTTTGGTTATAGAAAGAGCAAGTAAAACAGCTCTTTATAATCTTCTTTGTTTGTTGCCATGTAATAGAAAACTCTTTCTTTAAATATTTGCTATTGGCATGATGTTTCTTAAGGAATTCTGAGGCCTTCAACATGCTTCCAATTAATAATTAATCAATTTCTTCACGACCTTGTGCTAGAAGACCTGGTAGAGACCTAAATGCAGTTGGCCGTGTGTTATGTATATGGGTCAAAACCTATTTCTGATTATATCTTGAACTGGAGTGTAGCATGATGGGCCTGCTCTTTGGGGGTTACTGTCCTGCCCACTTCCCATAAATGGTAACTCCCAAAGAAAATCACACAGAAGTTTCCATAAGTTATAAACTGCTTGGCCCATTAACTTAGGCTTCTTATTAACTCTTATAACTTATATTAAACCATTACTCTTATCTGTGTTAGCCACATGGCTCATTCTTTCAACCCACTCTTCAGTGGTGTTCCCTGAGGCTTGTGGGAGGAAGAAGGAGTGGTAGGAAAGTGGGGTATGCAAGAGTTTTGATATAGACATTCTATTTGTGGAGAAGCACTCACACAATTGTCTATTCTCAGCAGTGAACAGATATGGACTCTCTGCATTCAATGATGGCTGCTGGTGGATGGAGATTCATTTTATTTGCAGGTGTTGCTATTGATTTGTGGATGACTATATTACTAAATATTTGTGAATGGTATATACAAAGTTGAATCATAGGTGTCAATTATATATGATGAATGTGTGAATAGATGATATTTGTATAAATAAGTACACAGGCATAGACTTGGGATTCTTTTCTTTCTGATCATGATGCGTTTTGTGGAATCATGCTCAACTTTCTTTCCACATTTCTGTTAAGATTGGGTGCACATATAAATTATTTTACTGAAATGTTTGCTTGAAATTAAAATAACTTCATAATGTCAGTAAGTCAAGCATCAGTGGCAAACATGACTGCACACTCCAATGCATCTGTATGAGCACACCTTTTGTTAAGTACATCCTATTTCATAGAGCTTGCACATGGCCATTACCTACAAATATATTTTGTGTGAAGAAGTCCCAAATGATATGAGAATAAAGACTAGAGAAAATATCCAGTATTTTCTTCATCTCTTTTCTGAATTTGAATCCTTGCGATTGTTGTCAACTGATTGTGCCATTCTGGTCATGAATTCTTCTGAATGAAGTTTTGTGCCTGGGCTCTCACAGAAGTTTCCTCACTTTGTATCTTTCACAGCAATACATAGCAGTGTCCCCAGTTGTCACAAAGTATAGTTTTAGTAAGACCTGGTTCTCAGATGTTTCACTAATTATGAAATGTTGTCTCTTGTAGGAAGGACTATAACTGGTGCCACAACCACCAACCACTACTTATATAACTCACCCAATCTAGGACCTTCTTTGGAGCTGTCAAATCCAGGCCCAGGCTGGTGATGGAGTAACCATCGAAAATGCAGCTGAGGGAAAATGAGTGTGAGAGCTTTATCAGTCTAGGTCTTGTCTCCTGAAGCTTCACATGGGACAACACACTTGAGTATAAGAAAATATAGCCTCTATAAATTAACTGCTGTTAAAACCTCTATACTGACATATGGGCAAAATGGTAAT